TCTGAACACTCCTTTGTCACAGGTCACCAGGGTGTGCTTGAGGGGACGGTAGACATAAACGGAATTTAGAGGCAGGGAAGACTGCAGAGTAGAAAGGTGATGTGCCACAAGCTCCCGACAGTGGATCAACTGGGAACTATCCATCTAGGCCATTGAAAAAAAGAAAAACATGGAAAGTTGATAATATATAATTAATGTAGGCTTCTGTCATCTTTGCTGGACACTTTTTTCTCCCCTTGCCCACTAAAGCCCTATTCTCTCACCTTTCTTTTCTCTCCCAACATTTTTTAACTTAAACATATCCACTCCTCCAGCCTTCTTATTAACATCTTAGAAATGATGCCCAGATCTGTATAATCTCTTTGTAACTGAAATTTTATATTTGGAAATTTATGCGGTACATCCTAGGAAAGCAGAAACTATACCGTTTCCGCACTTATTAACATGGATAAATTACAAAAGACCAAGTTGTTATGCAAAATTAGTGTTCTATAAAAATGAATGATTACAATAGACCACAAAATGGAAGATGACTACATCATTACATAACTGCCACACTGTATCAGCACATAATTGCAAAACCATTGAGAATCATGGCCCATTCAAGTTGACATATAACCTTAACCATCAAAGTCATTATTACTCTTGCCTTGCACCTTGGGGTTTGTTACTTCCAGCTGGACACTGTTAATACACAAATGGTTGGACAGATTTTTTTTTACTATTGTTGTAAAAGAAAAATGTTGGATAATGATATGTAGACAAGTGAGGAAATGTTGTATTCTTTCATTCACTGCTTTATCCAATGACTGATTTTGTTTAATCAGTTCCCTCATGTCTATAAGGCCTTTTGTCCTTCCCTCTTTGACTCTTCTCATGTCTTCAGTGGAGACCAAATAAATTAAGAATTTAAGAAGATATATGCAAAAAAATAAAAATAAATAAATCATGAGTTAGGAAAGGCTAAGCTTTTAGAAAATAATTTTGTTTTTATAATAAATGAGAGCTTTTGACAAGACATGATTTTGTAGAGAAGAGATTTGGCAACATCAGGAATAAATACTGTTGCTAAATGCTTTATTTCTGGAGTTTCACTAATTCCTTTGTATCCTTCAGAATTCAGTTGTCCATCCTTTTGGACTCATCCTTAACTACCCTTTCCTCCCCAGTACACACTGACTTCCAAATCATGTTTCTGCATCAACCTGTCATTACACTTACCACATTGTATTTGAATAATCTATTTAACCAGTAAACTTTCCATGATAGAATGGTAGTCATTATAACATATTCATCTTTTTCTCTCTGAGTTTCTAATACATGACTACACATGGCAAGTCTTCAAAGTCTGATCTAATTAGCTCTCTGCTCAATTTCCTTATAATTACACCACTAGTCAAATAATTTTATTTGTTGTTGTTAAGTGCCGTCGAGTTGATTCCGACCCATAGTGACCCTGTATAGGGTTTCCAAGGAGCAGCTGGTAAGGTTGAACCACTGACCTTGCAGTTCAAACAGCTTTGCAGTCTGGCGGATTAACCTACAGCACCACCCCAGGACTCCCAATTTTCTTACAGCAACAAGTATTTCTCCCCTACTCAGATTTTTTCAGCATTCCAATCCCTAACAATATAACCTAAAGTCTTTATCTTAGTATTAAGGCTCTCCACCAGTTTGATCCCAACCTACTTTACCACCAACATTTTTGCTGTTATGTGTCAACAAACTGGTTTCAACTCATAGCAACTCTATGTACAACAGAATGAAAGACTGTCTCTCCTGTCCTGCCATCCTCACATTCCTATGTATGAAGCCCACTGTTACAGCCACTGTGTAAATCTAGCGCACTGAAGGTTTCTCTCATTTTATCACAGACCCTCTACCTTATGAAGTATGATCTCTTTCTCCAGGGATTGGTCCCCGATAACTCATCCCAAATACATGAAGATGAAATCTTGTCATTTTCTTCTAAGAGGCATTCTAGCTGTACTTCTTCTAAGACAGATAGGTTTTTCTTCTAGTTCATTCAACATTCTCTGCTAACACCCAAATTCAAAGACATTTAAGTTTCTTCGGCCTTCCTTATTGTCAAGCTTTCATATATGCAGCATGTGAGGCAGCTTAAAACACCATGGCTTGGGTCAGGTACACCTAAGTCCTCAAAGCAACACCTTTACTCTTTAGTACTTTAAAGAAACGTTTTTGCAGCAGATTTACCCAATGCAATACATCATATATTTCTTGACTGCTGTTTCAATAAGCACTGAATGTGGATCTGTTTATCAAGATGCCATTTATTGGTCCAGTTGTCAGGATTTTTGCTTTCTTTATATAAGCTGTAATTCTTTGATCTTCATTAGTAGGAGTTTCAAGTCCTCTTTGCTTTCAGCAAGCAAGATTACGTCATCTTCATATCATAGGCTGTTAGTGAGCCATCATCCCTGATGCCACGTTCTTCAATGTATAGTCTCATTTCTTAGATTATCTGCTCAGCATACAGACTGAGTTAAGTATTGTGAAAGGATACACACACCTTTCCTGATATGTAACCATGTAGTCTCCTCGTGTTCGGTTTGAATGACTATCTCTTGGTCTATATACAGGTTCCTCATGATCACAATTAAGCATTCTGGAAATCCCATTCTTTGCAATGCTATCCATAATGTGTTATGATTCACACAGCTGAATGCTCTGTATAGTCAATAAACACAAAGTAGGACTTGATGTTCTCAAAAGGTAAGGTATTTCTTAAATGCCTAACTTTCACAGTTCACATCTATAAGGTTACCAGTTAAAATTACACTGTATAAAACACCAAATTCAAGTATTATTCATTTGATTTTCTAAGTTTTATCAGTTCAATAATTAGTTTTTATATTGTGAAATGTTGAATAGCTAATAGTGAAAGGACCATAAACAGAAAGTAAATTCATGAGTTTTTTTCTGGACTCCGCAGAACAAAGGAGTAGGATTTGCAACAGACCTCAGCTAAATCAGTTCTATTTGGTGACATGACTACAACCAGTAAAGAGTCTCTCAAAGTAGTTACTAACAGAGCAGCACTACCAACTTTACATTTCAGTCACAAAAGCACTTTCATGAAGAGTACTTCCAACCTACCAAAATCTGGTACAGATGTGTTTTCTAAGCCAACATTATTTACATTTCTAACAAGAAACATCTTGTAATTTACAAATGTTTGTTTAGCTTTTATGAGTGATAACTATAATTATTATAAAAAAACTGACATATGTAGCTAGGAAGTTTCTTTATAACAAAACTAAAGGAGTGTATTATTGAGAAACTTAGTATCTCAAAATTAAAGAGTCATGTAAATATTATCTAAAGCCTTATAAGGGAAAACATTTCACCCATAAACTGAAAAGTGTAAATACTTTACTCTTGTAATACAAATCTCTTAAGATTTGCTACTACGAGACTGGAAATTATTCTTAGTTTTATAACCGCGTGGCAATACTATATATTGTAATAAAAGATAAACTTAAAATGAACATTATTTAATTAGACTGAGACCTACCTGTGCTTTCTGAAGCAGTTCAATTGTCAGAGGAAGCCAATCAGGAATGAGTTTCTCCATTTCCAAACTAACCATGGCCAAAGCAAGCATGGACCCTTTGAATTGCAGAAGTTGGTTGCAGGCCATACAGTGGAGGAGTTGCTTGGTAAGGACTGCCAGATGTTGAGATGGGCTCAGTTTGGGCAAACTGAAGAATAACTGAGGCCTGTTTGACACTGCAATGGCATGGAAAATGTGGAGAAAACCCAATGGTGTGGCTGTGTGAAGATCCCAATTCAATTTATAGAGAATAATTCTCTCCATTCTCAGAATTTCAGATGAAGAACATCCACAGAAACTGTCTCTTGCTAACACCTTCAGAATTGGAATTCTCTCATCCTCCTCAACAGTCTTGGCAGCTAAGAAAAAGCAGCTGATTGCAATACAACTCAAGTATTTTGGGTGGGCCTTTACAGTAGCTAAAAACCTATCCAAAAGACTGCTAGCCAGAGCAAATGTTTCTGGATACAGGTTGAATTGGTACTTGAGCTTCGCCAGCCACTGAATCACTTCATCTCTCTGGGATGGAGAAACATTCTACAAGAAAAAAAATTAGTAATAAATAGAAATAAAGGAGAGAAGGCAAAGTTTCACATTTTTGTTTCAAAATTTCTCATGAAAGGTTTGCAAATGCATGGAATGTATGTTTAAAATGTTTTTTTAAGGTTATTCAAAAAGTAACAATTTGAGATAAATGAACACAAGATTTTATGTACTAAATATGACATTTAATATCCATATCCTAATTCTTTTCTTTTTAATGTTTTATTGTGAATTATATGATAGTTTACATGGAAGAACATTAGTTTTACATTCATTCTATTGTATATCGTTTCATTGCCATGGTTATAATCCACTCCATGCATCATCAACCAATCAAAGGGTATACCCTGCAAGCCTGCCCCCTACACTCACCACCCTCCACCCCACCCCTGATCCCAGTCTTCAGCACACAGTCACTCTCCCTTTCTGGATCTAAAGTCCCCAGCTGCTCCATCACTCCACGTCATTGTCTGTGCCTCCATCTCAGGCATCACTGCTTCTCTGGGTAGGGTCCCGCTCTCTGCTCTTCTCCGATGATGGTCCTAGGGACCTCCGCTCCTAGACTGGAAAGTTAATCACTCCCTTCCTTGCTATAAAATGTCTACCTTTACATTTCCAAC